GGTAGGTGCCGACCAGCCGACCGGTCGGCGGGTCGGCAGCCGACCAGTCAGGGGTCGCCGACGGTCGGCGCGTGCAACACTGCCTGCCAGCCCCCCATTTTTCGGTTCCAGTCTTCACATCCTATTGGAGGCTTCAAAGTTCATATACATGAATGTCAATTTCATCAATATCCATTTGTAACGCGGACGGAGCCGCGCTGGCCACTCTTGTATACGTTAAAGTTTAAACCAACAAGCAGAAAGCCATTGTTAAAGACTCAATTAAGGAAGTAGTTTCTACCTTCTCCCATGACGAAGGCAAGATTAGGCACAGGCTGTCTTTTTTGGTAAGCGGCGAGCTCCCTTTCAGTACGATCCTAGCAATGTACTATTTGGAAGTGGCAAAGCCGTAGTTGGAGTGGACCAAGAAAACTAGGCTGATAGAGGTCCAGATGGGAAGGCAGTCTGTCTGAAGAGGTATTCATCTCACAAAGTGGAAAATTCCTACGGATGCTTGTCTGCCAGTTCATTTTATAACTACTGCCACAGGACGAGGAAGAGGCTATGTTCTTAGTCCTTGTGCCTCCAAATGTGTTGGCAGTAGAGACCTCTCCATGGATAGCAAGAGTCGTTGCTATGTTTCCAAATCTGGAAGAAGAACCAAGTAGAGTTGTGGATAGGGAGATAGTTCATGCCGTAGAGATTATCCCAGGGAGTAAGATCCCAAATGGCAGAATCTACAGTGCCTCTAGAAGAGGCAGAGGAGCTTTGCAAGAGACTAAAGTAACGGACTGATGAGGGATGGATTAGGCCAGGTACTTTGGCTTACGGGTTTTCCTGTTGTATTCACAACCAAGAAGTGAGGTACATTGAGGATGTGCATTGCACATCTCAGCGCATAATACTTAACCTGTACCTCCCATTGATGACCTCTTTGATAGACTTCATGAGTGTTGGTTGGTCGTTTGCAGCTGTAGATAGCGGATCATGCTTGTATCATTTTTTATGCGCATCTGTGCGAATGCTTAACCCGTACCTCACATTGATGACCTCTTGGATAGACGTCATGAATGTAGGTAGGTTGTTCGGGGTCGTAGATAGAGGATCATGCTGCTATCATTTTTGTAAGACCGCAGTGGGTCGACAACTCTTCCGGATAATAAAATCCATTCGACCCTGAGTCTGTGCTCGTTCTTTCATTGTGTGGCAGGGTGCTGCTGTGAACTGTTTGGCAAGAGAAGATTTGCTAATCTTCAGTGTGCAAATGGCTGTTTTGTTCTGTTTTCTGGGACAGACGGTTTCTGACGCACAAGCGAAACGGTTTGCAAAGTTTCGGGAGAGGCGGAGTCGTGTGGAGAAAGATGTGGTGGGTTCAAACTTTGAAGTTTTTCTGGAACAACCGCCGATCAATTTGGAAAGTTGTTGCTGACTTATCTGCTGTGATTGCAGGTCTTTTGAATTGCATGGTTACTATGGTTAGTATTGGTTTCCAGGATAGGAGGAACGGTCTGTGATTAAAAAGTTAAGAACTTAAGGAGAAGAATTCCTCTATGTGGGGTATCTGGAGGTTCAAGGGGTGGTACTCGATGTCGGAGTCCGAAAACAACAAGGCAGTGGGAAACCAAATTGTGGAAATCAGAACGTAAATGCATCTTTGTAAAAAAAAAAAGAAAACAGCATCTTTCTATTCGTGGCTGCTTCACATCTAAGCCACAAATTATATTAACCGTTCAGCTTGTCCACAGTCCTCTCTGCCAAGATTTATTTATTGTTCACTGGAAATTGTTGTTTTAGCGCTCATCACAATACGATATTGTATACAATATTATACAAAATCTTATATAAAATTATATAAAAGACTCTATTTATATAAAATACTATATACTTACATTGCATTGTATTCAACAAAGTAAATATTATATTATAAAATACTATATAATTACATTGCATTGTATTCAACAAAGTAAATATTATATTAATATTAAAAATTATATTAATATTGTAAAACATATTAAAAGGTAAAGATCTGTGTAGCATGGCGTACGCAGAGGCCTGGCTTGTGTTGCAACCGAAGTCGCGTGCACCCCTTGTTTCATGTATCTGTTTTTTTACCAGAAGCTGATTGGATTTATTGAATTTTATCCACATCGTCCTGCAAGGTAGGCACCCTTGAATCCGTGATGATTGGGTGAACCGTGATACACAATCGGTTATGACCCGCATCGGGAATGCAGCGTGTGGAGTATGCATATGTACTCGTGTTGGTGTGCTCCTCCCTGAAAATACATACACTTGCAGGGTAACCGGCATTCGGGACGGGCCAAATGCCCGAACGTACGGGACCACTTGGGGATGCGTTCGGCCGTTCAGGCCGAACGCAGACCCAAAAAAAAGAAGAAGAAGAAGAAGAAAAAAAAACAATAAAAAAAATCTGAAACAAAGCTATGTTATGAGAAAAATAAAATAAACAACATTTGCCTGAGCATTACATCCAAACTCCTTACCAAATTTGAAATAAAAATAAAATACAGAAAATAAAATTAATAAAACAAATAAGAAAAAAATGAAAAGAGAATTAGAATTAGTGCGTGAGCAAGCACGTTTTCGACACCGCCATCTTTGGCATTTTTTTTTTTTTTTTTGGCGCAGCCAAATGCCCTGGGGCTCGGACCTACTTGCCAAGTTTTACAACTTGGGTGATGTGGTTTTTGTGTTTTTTGCAGAATAAAATAATCATTTTAAAATGGCAAACGTCATTCAGTGTTGTTGAAAAAAAATGAACAAGTGTTTCTCTCACAAGGATGAGTCGAAAGAAGCGTACGTAGTAGTGCAAAACGGTGAACTCAATGAAACGGGATTCCTACCGAGCAGCCCGTTAGGGGTGGAAGCACCCTGTCAGAGGCACTCAATGCTTTCGATTTTCGCAATGTGAAAGTGTCATTTCTGGCTTAAAAAAAGGAAACCGAAGTGGCAAAATCATCCCCCCCTTTTTGAAAACCATAAAAATGCACCTTCACGCCCACTTCAATGCAGCAACGTAAAAGCTTAAAGAAAAAAATACAAATCCTGTCATCGGAGGGGGCGGGAAAACGATTACCCGAAAATGCCACACGGGATTGTAAACGGAGGTCGCACCGTTGTAAAACTTCGCAGGTGGGTATTTTCCCCTGAAACTTTACAGATGTGTACTTCACATAATACAAAACTCGTTAAAAAAGTTTCAAAAAATAATAATTTTTTTAGGCCCCGCAATAAAGTGAAAACAAAAAGTAAAAACTGAAAAAAAAACAAAATAGTGAGTGGGCCAGCACGTTTTGACACCGCCATATTTGGCGATTTTTAATGTTTGTTTGGTTTAGCAAAATGACTTCAAAATTTATAGGCATGTACCTCACATCATAGAGAACTCGGAAAAAAAAAAATCAGAAAAAAAACCTTATTTTTAGGCCCCGAAATATTTTTTGGCGGGGGCCGAACGCCATCGGGTTTGGACCCCGAACGCCCGTACGTACGGGGGTCCGGCCAGGGACCTCCGTACGTACGGGCTGGTGACCCTGTACGGGAGTACTTATTCTGTTCTTTTCTTTTTTTTAATGCTATTGTGGATGGTGGGGGCGGGGGTGTGTTAATCACTTTGTACAAACTAAAAAGTATCTGTTGATAATTATTAATTATGTAATGAACCCAGTCAGGAAGATACTCAACAGACGTCGAAGTTCCAGTAGTCTCAGCTCTGTACAAAGTCTCCAGTTAATGTGAAAATGATATCTGCAACAGTATCTCGTTACCTATAGACAACGAGAGTGGAGGGAGGATAGACCAGGGAGAAGGTGGAAGAAATACTCAAAGATCACACAATAGTAACCCGACCAATCCCACTTCTTCTCCGGGCATCCTCTCCCTCCACGTCAATAATCAATAAACAGTAACAAGTCTGATAAATCCCGGTCACACAGAAGTGCCACGTGGCACTACTCTCCGAAGGAGACAATGAAGACAACCAGCATCTCGCAATATCGACGTCAGCCTGAGGTAAGTATCCCGTTCCCGATTATCCACAGATCCCAATCTTCCTCCTCAACGCAACCAGTCACCTCATGTAGACAGCATGGCCAATGCCACGTAAGCAGTAGAGACAGGTGGCATGCGCCACGTTACAGGTGGCAGTGCCACATCAGCAATGTAGACAAGTGGTCTGCGCCACATCAGCCTTGAGGACAGGTGGCAGCGCCACATCAGCAATGCCTGGCGCACAATGCAGAACGAGCCAGCATGCCGTCTCAGTCCTCGTCGTCGTCCACAGTGCCTGCGCACAGTCAGCGTCTCGCCAGCGTCGTGCCAGCCTCAATGCCAGCGTCTGGTCGAAGTCGAGTCAGCGTCCAAGCAGCATAGCAAGTCTGAATGTCGACCCCCTTAAGACCAGCCCTCAAGTAGCATTTGACAAGGCTGTCTGGTCTAGGTTCCCTCCTCCACAGTCGTCCAGATTGACTCACAGCCGAGGGCCTGGATTGTGTACAGTTGCAGACTTCCCTTTGGACCTGGTGTTGTCTGGGTACCTGCATACAAACAAGTGTGTGTGCCTGACCGGCGGCCTGGGCTGGGTACCTTTGGACTTTGACTGTGGTGTTACGACAGTTGACCATAGTCAACTGTCACACGTCCAGGCCCTGAATCCCCGTGTGGGGTTCTTTTCCCCGGTTTTGGCCTGGGCTGAGGGCGGCCAGGTAGGCCCTCAGATATTCCACGAGACATATGGCATGGGTTATTGCAATTAGCTTCTACTGTATTTCATGTCGTGCTTGTGAAAGCTGTTCAATTGTTGGTAATCCTTGTATAATATCGCCTGCCTTTAGTCTTTCGTAGATGAGAGTCATAAGGGTATCTCCTTCGCTAATCA